TAGTTCTTGTTGCTTGGATTAGTGAATTTGTTTTTCATCATTTGTTTTGGATACTTGTTGGTTTCTTCTTTGATTTTTTTTGCTGTGCCAGCTTTTATCTTTGGAATATGTTTGATTGGATTACTGGAGTGTCTGCTTCCAGGAAATAACTGGAAGTGTTGGCTGGGAGTCACCAGGGAGCTCTGTTCAGTGCTCCAGGGTGAAGGGTGTGTCTGAGGTGACACACCCAGATTTGGCATGGTAAATTTCCTTTTTAATTTTTAATCAGAGGGGAGGTTTCTTCTTGTCTGTTGGTGTAGACTCACCTGAGCCTCTCTCCTCAAAGGAGACCAGTGCCTGGGTGCTAGCCCCAATGACTATATTATTCGTCTGCTTTTCCACAAGGACCATACAAAGGATCTGTCTAGTCCTCAGTATAAGTTATATTCCCCAGCAGTGTCTCGCCAAGTAACCAAGTAGCCCTAATATAGTGTAGGGCTCCCACAGTGACTGCCCAATGTCCCAGTCACATGGAGTCCTCCCCACACAGCCTCAATGTTTTCACAGTCTTAGCACAAAGCCTCCCAGAGTCACAAGTACCCAGGCCCCAGTCTGTTCTCCCTACCAGACTCAGCAGTCTCTGCTTTTCTCATTGCTGGACTTGTACAGGAGCTGTCATAGCTGTTAAGTATGTCCAAAATGGCTCCTGCTCTCTGTCAGTTTGTTGCAGGGCACCTTTGCAAGATGATCGGGGAGAGTGAAAATGTGTCTGCTCTTTTTTTTAAAGATATATTTTTTTTTTATTTGAAAGGCAGATTTAGAGAGAAGCAGAGGCATAAAGAGAGAGAGAGAGGTCTTCCATCTGCTGGTTCACTCCCCAGATGGCCACAATGGCTGGAGCTGTGCCAATCCAAAGCCAGGAGCCAGGAAGTTCTTCCTGGTCTCCCACATGGGTGCAGGAGACCAAGGACTTGGAGCCATCTTCTACTGTTTTCCCAGGCCATAGCCGAGAGCTGGATTGGAAGTAGAACAGCTGGGACTCGAACTGGCACCCATATGGGATACTGACACTGCAGGGGGTGGCTTTACCTACTACACCACACTGCCGCCACCCCACTCTGTTTCCTCCTCTAGTTCTGCTGTTACACTGTCCCCCATGTGGTTCCAAGCCAGTTTCTTAGTTTCCCTGAAAGCTCTTGCTGTAGCTTTTTCGCCAGTGGCTTGGGCTACTGCAACCAAAGCTGGTGTGAAACTATCAGCTGGTGGGGTTATAAGTTATGCCCGTCTTCACCTCCACTTAGGTTCACTGTGTTCCTCCAGTTTACATAGTTACCTCTTCTGTTTTCTTCCTAAATCTGCCCTGAGACTGCTCTCTGCATTTTTTGTTGAAATATCTTCTGGACTAGAGCAGCAAGCTTCCTCCCTACTCTGCCATCTTAATCCAATCCTGGATACAACTCTAAAGCCAGGTATGAATCTTATAAATATTTCCCCTTGCTTGTGGCTTATATTTACATTTTTCCAACAATCTTCTTTGAAGAGAATAAGTTTAATATTACAATAGAAATCAGACTTACTCTTTTTCATTGATTTATCCATTCTGGTACTTAAAAAGTTTAGAGCAATGCGAAGTCACAGAGATTTTTCTCTTACAATAAATTTTTGATTACTATAGTTTTGGCTCTATAAGTGTCTAATACATTTTAAAATTAAATTTTAATGTAGCATGAAGTAGCTTTTGAGGAGATTCTTTGTTTTGCTTACGAATATCTAATTATCCAACACTATTCATTGAAAAGATGATAGTCTTTCCCTACTGAGTTAGTTTAAGATCTTTGTCAAACATCCATCGACCTTATTGGTATATGTCTATATCTGGGTACTGATAATCTATCTCTTCTGTACCACTAATATTCGTATATGCCAATGTCTTACTTGTATTTGGTTAATGCATTATCATAGTAAATGTTGCAATTAGTTGGTGTGTGTCCTCTGGCTTTATTCTTTCTTTTCTTTTCTTTCTTTCTTTTTTTTTTTTTGGCAGGCAGAGTGGACAGTGAGAGAGAGAGACAGAGAGAAAGGTCTTCCTTTTCCGTTGGTTCACCCTCCAATGGCCGCTGCAGCTGGTGTGCTGTGGCCGGTGCACTGTGCTGATCTGAAGCCAGGAGCCAGGTGCTTATCCTGGTCTCCCACGGGGTGCAGGGCCCAAGTACTTGGGCCATCCTCCACTGCACTCCTAGGCCACAGCAGAGAGCTGGCCTGGAAGAGGGGCAACCAGGACAGAATCCGGTGCCCCGACTGGGACTAGAACCCGGTGTGCCAGTGCTGCAGGTGGAGGATTAGCCTGTTGACCTGTGGCACCAGCCTCTTTCTTTTCATAATTGCTTTGAACCATTATAATAATAAAAATAACAAATACTTAACTGCTAAAGATTTTATTGAATACATTGTTTACATTTGTTCATTTAGTTCTCACAACATCCTTATCAAATATATAGATAAATTATTCCCATTTTTCAAATGAAGTATTTGAGACTTCAAGAAGTTGTTAAATTGACCAAGATCATGTTTATTTGGTAATTTTGTATGTCCAGAGTTTGAATACAAGTCTGTAATATCTAGAGGATAAGTAGTTATGTAGTAGCTATCTTTATTCCAATTGTTAATTTTCTCAAATTATTCATCCATCATGAGACTGTCAGCATAGGAAAAGTACTTTATCTCATATTTTGTAGAAGCTAAATGAATATTTTGATTGAGTAATTATCCTACAATGTGTAGAACAGGGCACTATGCCCAGATATGAAACCTTTGGACTGAATTAGTTCAGAGGAGGTGCCCTGTTCTGATGTTTTGGGATGGAATCAGACCATCTCAATATTGCCATTCTTCTGCAGTCCTTGACACTCCAAAACCTGGGCTGCAATGGGAGGCTTTGAAGCAGAGCTGAAAGGGCAGTAATGAAACTTAATGCTAATAAAGTCCTGGGCCAGGGGCGTTTTTGCCCTAGCAGAGTGTGATCTATATTTTCAGTAGCCTCCAATGCCCTTTTCAGCGGTCTCTCTACAGCTCATTGGTGGGTAATAAGTCTTGACCAGTATTGGTCTTTGACATAGGTAGTAAAATACAATCTAAAAAGCACCCAGTGGAGTATAAAAGTCAGCATCAGGACAGTGCAGATGATTTCTGATGTAATATCTTTCCCATCTTGGATCACCAGGTACAAGGTCCAGGGGCAGGCATTCTTGTTCACCAAGCTACATTATTAGTTGAAAAAATCAGATTCTATTTCCTGGGTACAGAAGCTTACAAATAAACCTTTTTATAAAGTGAGATTTTTAGTAATTATGTGTAAAATAAATAAAATTATCCAATTCTTGTTCACAATGGCAATTTATAGATAGTTTTGAAATTAACATAAGGAAATTGACACAGATGATGATGGATTGGGAATAATATAATTTAAAGAGATACCAAGATACCTTGGATGTTAGGCTAAGGACTGAAGAATGAGGAGGGAGCATAGTACTGCTCTACAAATATATGGAACAGTCCTTTTAGTTTGTTGAATAGTCTCCTTTCAAAATTCATGTACACCTGGAACTTCAGCATATGAATTTATTTGGATATAGTCTTTGAAGATATAATTAGTTAAGATGAAGGTGAGCCCACAAAGACACACACAGGGAAAAAGGCCATGTGAAGATTGAAACAGAGATTGGAGTGACAGTTAAAAGCTATAAGGAATGATTGCTGTGATTGCAGATGAATGATTGCAGAAATTAGGAAGAAGAAAGAAATATTCTTCCCTCCAGGCTTGAGAGGGAGCATGGCCTTGCTGACACGTGTATTTTAGCCTTCTATCATTCAGAATTGTGATGTAAGAAGTTTCTTTTTTGTAAGCTATCCAGCGTATAGTAATTTAGTTTGACAGCCTAAGAAGTTAATACAGTTTCAAAATAGAAATGCAAGAACTTTTTCTAATATTCTAAATTTAAGGACAAGAGAAGAAAAGGAAGATTCTTAGTCAACTTGGTAAAATAGACTCGTGGAGGAATGAAATGAGCTGCCTCCTGAAGATGTCAAGTAAAGATTGTCCATCTACATGGAATGTGGTAGCAAAACAATCCATACAGCTGGTTGGATTTTGGAATGGATGGGCTTACAGAATATTTCTAGTATAAACATTTTATGATATAAGTATAGTCTCTTTAAGTTTACTTTCAAAAGTATAAACTACAATTTTCCAAACCTATTTATATAATTATCAGAGATTCTTGATTAGATAACTATATTAGTCTGGAGTTCCCTGATATAAGCAAGAAAACAATTTTCCTTCTTTGGGGAAACATATAAAATTACCTAACTGTGACCAGCCAGTTCTTTTGCAAAAAAGAAAGATACCCTATATCCTTATAAAGAAAAAACTTTTGTCTAGAATTTATGTGGTTCTTTTTTTGTTTTTGCATATTTATATTAAAGAGTATGTAAAAATTGTCCCACTCCCATTAAATGAGCCATGAATGTTATGATTATATTATTATTGACCCTACTTGTGATGGATCTAATATTAACCTTAATTTTTACCCCAGTCTGTTTCTAAATCCTTAGCTAAGTATCTTTGGGATTTCTCCCTGAGTAAGTCAAGTGAATGCAATCTTAAGTTTGTGACATATTTTAGTCAATAAGACTTTAACATATTGATATTGGAAGAGACCTGAAACAGCATATGCTTGGATGGATGGGTGTCCACTTGTGTTTCTGATTCTTTGTTGAGGAGGACAAGAATTGGCTTTATTTATCTAATGTTCCAAGGAGGAACAGATAAGTATATCTCAGCATGAAGCCTAGACTGATTGAGCCTAACTGGGCCATAACAATCCCAGACAATCTATACATGTACAATGAGGGTAAATGGTGATTCTTTTACGCCATACAGTTTTGCTTTCATTTTTAAAAATATTTAAAAATTTTAAGTTTTAACAATTTTAGCATTTTGTCATATTCATTTCATACAGAAATATTCTATACATACACATATGTAGTATTTTTTTAAAACAAAATTTTCTTATCAAAAAATGTGGGATTTATGGCAATTTTAAAGTGGAGAAGAGGGTATATTGTCATGGATGTGGTATAATTTAAATGCCTAGTTTGCAAATATTTTTCCCATTTCATTTTCTCTTCACTTTATTTATTCTTTCTTTCGCTGTGCAGAGGCTTCTTAGGTTGATATAATCCCATTTGCCTATTTTTGCTCTTATTGCCTATGTCTTAAGGGTCTTAACCAAAACATCTTTGCCTACACCAATGTCTTTCAGAATTTCCTCTGTTTACCTCTAGTTGTTTGATAGTTTCAGGTCTTAAGTTTAGATCTTTGATCCATTTTGAGTTGAGTTTTGGATTTTATTTTTTTTTAACTTTTATTTAATGAATATAAATTTCCAAAGTACAGCTTATGGATTACAATGGCTTCCCCCCCATAATGTCCCTCCCACCAGCATCCCTCCCCTTTCCCACTCCCTCTCCCCTTCCATTCACATCAAGATTCATTTTCAATTCTCTTTATATACAGAAGATCAGTTTAGCATACATTAAGTAAAGATTTCAACAGTTTGCTCCCACACAGAAACATAAAGTGAAAAATACTGTTTGAGTACTAGTTATAGCATTAAATCTCAATGTACAGCACACTAAGGACAAAGATCCTACATGAGGAGTAAGTGCACAGTGACTCCTGTTGTTGACTTAACAAATTGACACTCTTGTTTATGGCCTCAGTAATCACTCTAGGCTCTTGTTATGAGCTGCCAGGCTATGGAAGCCCCCTGAGTTCACTGACTCTGATCATATTTAGACAAGGCCATGGTCAAAGTGGAAGTTCTCTCCTCCCTTCAGAGAAAGGTACCTCCTTCTTTGATGACCCATTCTGTCCACTGGGATCTCACTCGTGGAGATGTTTCATTTAGGTTTTTTTTTTCTTGCCAGATTATCTTGGCTTTCCATGCCTGAAATACTCTCATGGGCATTTCAGCCGGATCCGCATGCCTTAAGGGCTGATTATGAAGCCAGAGTGCTGTTAGGACATTTGCCATTCTATGGGTCTGCTGTGTATCTCACTTCTCTCCCTTTTTTATTCTATCAGCTAGTATTTGCAGACACTAGTCTTGTTTATGTGCTCCCTTTGGCTCTTAGTCCTATCATTATGATCAATTGTGAACAGAAATTGATCACTGGGACTAGTGAGATGGCATTGGTACATGCCACCTCGATGGGATTGAATTCGAATCCCCTGGTATGTTTCTAACTCTACCGTTTGAAGTAAGTCAGCTTGAGCATGTCCCGAATTGCACATCTCTTCCCTCTCTTATTCCCACTCTTATATTTAACAGCGATCACTTTTCAGTTAAGTTTCAGCACTTATGAAGAATTGTGTATTGATTACAGTATTCAACCAAAAGTATTAAGTAGAACAAACAAACAAAAATACTAAGAGGGATAACATATTAAGCTGCTCATCAACAGTCAGGGTGAGGGCTGATCAAGTCACCGTTTCTCATAGTGTTCATTTCACTTTAACAGGTTTCCTTTTTGGTGCTCAGTTAGTTGTCACCTATCAAGGAGAACAAGTGGTATTTGTCCCTTTGGGATTGGCTTATTTCACTCAACATAATGTTTTCCAAATTCCTAACAGGGATCAATTTTCAGTTAAAATTTAAACACCTAAGAATAATTGTGTGTTAATTACAGAGTTCAACCAATTGTACTAGAACAAAAAAAAAATACTAAAATGGACAAAGTATTACATTGTATATCAACCTTCAGGACAAGAGCTGATCAAGTCACTGTTTTAGTTGACTTTTAGTCAACTTTTATATAGTTGACTTTTAGGTATAAGGTCATGGCTCTTGTTATGAACTTCTACATGTGGAAATTCAGTTTTCCCTGCATTGTTTGTTGATGAGACTGTCCTTTCTCTATGGAATGATTACCTGGCAAGGCTGACTTCATCAAAATACTGAGAAAATAAGCTGGATGTTATCATGATTCCATTATCGTCTCTTTCCCCCACAAACACATAGTAGAGGGGATAAGACTTCATTTTCCTGCCATACCTCACTTGAACTCAAATGCCCATAGACAGCTTAGTTGTGGTCTGTAGTACAAACTTTCTATTCACTTCAAATATGTTTTGCCCTGGTAGTTGTCTGATTGATATCCTTTCTCACTTCCTCCTTGTTATGAAAATCTCAACACAATCTGGAGGTGACCATATACCAACTAATCCCCTTGTGATTCAGTTCTGTAAATGCACTAACTTTTGATCAGAGAAATGAAAGCCATCTGTTGAAGACAGATGAATAGAACAACAGCAGAAGCCTGATTCTCTGATGGCTTTGTGAATTTTGACCTCTTGTTTCATGAATGACAGTCTGGTTAAGTTATTGTTGTTAAGTTTCTGTTACATTCAGGTATGCACACATAACAGAATTTGATTTTACATAGGAGTCAAAATGTTATGTAAGTCAGACATTGAAAGACAAATATCATGCATTCTCTTTCATATATGAAGGCTTTAAAAAAGCAGATTTGAATGTAGAACAGTGTTTACTAGGGACTGGGAAGTAGAGGGAAGTCAGAGAACGAGCACTGGAACACGGAACACAGATAGAAAGGATCAGGTCTGTGGTTCTACACACTGTGGGACAACCACAGTTTAAAATGGGCTATTCCATATTTTATGAGTAAACAGAAGAGAGAACCTCGTTTTGAAACATTACATAGTGATAAGGAGATGGAAACATTGGTTACTTTAATTTGATCAGTGTACATGGTACATGTGTATTGGAAACACACTGTTCTATAAATTTGTATAATTATTACATGTTAATCAATAATTTAAAAATTGAGATTGAAATGCTCACTACTCTGATTTGATCATTACACATTACATGCATTTTCAAATTATCTACCGTATCCTATAAATATGTATGTATAATTAAAATAATAATTATACTAAAGAAAAAAACAGATTGTGGGATATACATGGGGTGAATGGGCTAGGTAATATTTGGGTGGTGAGTAACCCAGACATTGGAAATTGGTGACCTTTTTTTATGGACATATTTTATTTTGTGTTATCTTAGCCCTTTATGCATATTGAATGGACAGTTTTTAATTGAAATTTATTCAATTCACTTAATTTACATTTATTTTAATTAACTTTTAAAAATTATACATATTAATGGAATACCATCTCATATTTTGATGCATGCATATGAGGAAATTTTCAGTAAGTTCATGGACAATGTGTGTTATTAAAATGTCCTCAGGCACAGGTCGAAGCCTGGCCGTACTAGCCATGCCGAACCGCAGGGCCAGCCTTAATGCCTACTACTTCTTTGTGCAGGAGAAGATCCCCGAACTGCACCGGCAAGGTCTGCCCGTGGCTCGTGTGCCGGACGAAAAAAAAATGTCCTCAGGTTAAAAGAGAACATTTAGGTAAGATTTTAGCCACACACAGCATACAATTTACTATATTTTACATAAAACCAGAATTGACTATGTCTAACTCTTGTGGCTATACCTGAGCTTCTGAATTCAGCCAGTAAGAAGAAAATTATGAGAGCTCTGAAGCCCAGAGAATGGAGTGAAGTAATTTTTTTTTTTCTGATTCCTGTCTTAAACATCATATTGGAGTTTGATAGACTAGAAGTATCCTGCTCAGAGTTTAGAACCAGCACAACGGAATGGAATCTTGTTGGATTAACTAAGCACATACTAGAATCTTCCTTATCCCTGTCTAATAGGGCTATCTTTTTTACTAAGGGTGAGGGTACTTGTTGTTATCTGATTACTTCCACCATTGCACAGTATGATATGTAGGAAACAGAAGCTAGTCTGTTAATCATATAGATCAGGAGACACAAGGAGACGCATCCTATTCAGATGGAGAGGAATACACATCATCCAGAGATCTGGAATTTGGATAGGATTAATCAAAGGAATGAGACTTTAGGATCATCTCTTTTGGCAGGGTATGTGTTTATTTAGAGACAGACTATGTCAGACATCACTACTTTTTAACCCAACATTTAGATTTTTATTTCTTGCCAAAACTTCCCTAAGTTTTGGAGATAGTGAAAGATCAGTTTAAAATGGAAAATTTGCCCCTTCAGGTGCGCTTGCAGTTGCGTATGACCCTATATCCCTTTAAAGCCTCTAAGATGGGTTAACTGGGTGGAGATTCCCAGAGAGCTGTTATTTTCTTCAGAAAAATGAGCACCCTGGTTGTCACACACATTTCACTTTCCACCCATATCCTGAAAGCCCCTCCTGGAACACAAGTGCAACCACTTGTCAGGTTAGAAATACAAACTCCTAAATGATTAAGAAATTTATGTCAGCCTTCTTTTATGTGGCAGTTAAAGTTTATTATCCTGAGAGAAGCATATTATAGATATTCAAACAAAACACAATTCTAGACACCAGGAAAATTTAAATACCTCTTAGCAATGTAATTTTTAGGGAATAATGAAACAGTAGAAAATAAAACAAAAACAATACATAGCCCCTGCAACTAATATCCCTGTTGAGATGTTCTAAATAGCCACAGGTTGCTATAAAAGGATTTGAGTAAGATATCCTTCAAGAATAGGATTGAAGTCTCCACATTTTGCCTGGTCACACAACCACTCTCCTATTTGCTGAGTCCTGCCCAGAAGTCATGTCTTCCAAGGCAGAGAAAGGAAATGGCCTCGAGGCTGCAGTTCAGAGCCATTACAAATCGACTGGTCTTCCCTCATTACCCAGTATGTGGGGCATGTCTGCATTGGATCCAAAGGCCAGAGAAGGGGCTTTCTTTCTGGAGGGAGCAAACCAGATAGCCATACAAATCAGATAGCATTATCAGCACAATTTGAAAAAGAATATGCCTGCATTCTTGTTTTTAGAAGCCCAAAGGCTTAACATACAGCAGACTCAGCCTACAATTCTAGATCTCATCCTAATCTTTTTAAGCATTTTCTAGGAGTACATGGCGGATAACAAATTGTGATGACTGATCTTCTGGTGTAAACAAAACATTTTGGGTAGTACCATTGTTAGAAAATCTCTAAAGGGCTTTTTCTATGGGGCAAGCTACAAACCACTGCTTTCTGCAAACCTATAAAAGTCAAGTTCTGGCATCTATGACGAATGACAGGATGGGAACTCTCATAGAAAAAGTGCTCTCACTCATGAAATGCTTCCATAGAAACTGATAGGAACCAGTGTAACTGGCTGGAGTTGTGGCTGGCAATTCTTGCTTTTCAAAGGGTACCCTAGAAAACAAGTACAGATTCAAGTACAGGCAAATCAAATTTCACAGATGAGGATGCTTATATAGTTTGCTGAAATGGGCCTTCAGCAAACCATTGCTCTCCTCACTTCCCTAGATGGGACGGCTGTGTGGAGGCTGATGTGATGTCACACACTCATGTTCTTACACTTCTCTTAATACTGTTTGATTTCTGATTGCAGGACAAATGAAAGCATGGTTATTCTGACAGCTCCCTCACTTTTATTTACTACATTAAAAAGATGTATCATATATGCTTCTATGATTCTTAATTTGTATTCAAATAAATTTGGCATTTTCTGTAAAAATAAAGTATTATGAAACACAATCTGGATTGGCACTGAAACTTGGAGGTGTGGTAAGGGCTAAGAGTCAAAATCTTTCACATGTTAGAGTGCCTAGATGATGTAAACAACACACAGCTCCTCTAGCTTTTCAGGCTACATGAAAACCAATCACTGTGATGGGTCTGCAAATCTATCTCATCTATTAAATGATAGGAGATATTCTGTTCAACAAATCAAGGAAAAGTTCCATTCACTAGGTTGAATTTATACAAATTATGTAAATTAAGTAAAACTTAAGTTTTACTTGAGAAGAATGTGAGAAATAAGAGGAATGGACTTCTATCTACTTGGCTATTTCTTGTCCATTAAAGGAGTTCTTTTCTTTTTTCTTTTTTCTTTTTTTTTTTTTTTGACAGGCATAGTTAGACAATGAGAGAGAGAGAGAGAGAGAGAGAGAGAGAGAGAGAGAAAGGTCTTCCTTCTGTTGGTTCACCCCTAAAATGGCCACCATGGCTGGAGCTACCACAATCCAAAGCCCGGAGCTAGGTGCTTCCTCCTGGTCTCCCATGCGGGTGCAGGGACCCAAGCACTTGGGCCATTCTCTACTGCCTTCCCAGGCCACAGCAGAGAGCTGGACTGGAAGAGGAGCAACTGGGAAAGAATCCAGCACTCCAACTGGGACTAGATTCCGGAGTACCAGTGCCGCAGGCGAAAGATTGGCCTAGTGAGCTGCAGTGCCAGCCCATTAAAAGAGTTCTAAGATTCTTCAACATATATCAGTGTTCCAAAAATTATGATTTATAAACTACTGATTTAACTATACTCCCATTTTACTGAGGCAGCAGCTGAGGTACACAGATACCCAACATTTTGTGTGTGCCTGTAACTATTTCAGGTGCATGTTGTCTGTCAGTAAAAACACTGTGCGCTTTTAAGAACCATATGGTGCCGGCGCCGTGGCTCACTAGGCTAATCCTCTGCCTGCAGCACTGGCACAATGGGTTCTAGTCCCGGTCGGGGTGCCGGATTCTGTCCCGGTTGCCCCTCTTCCAGACCAGCTCTCTGCTGTGGCCAGGGAGTGCAGTGGAGGATGGCCCAAGTGCTTGGGCCCTACACCCCATGGGAGACCAGGAAAGTATCTGGCTCCTGCCATGGGATCAGCACGGTGCGCCGGCCGCAGCGGCGGCCATTAGAGGGTGAACTAGCAGCAAAGGAAGACCTTTCTCTCTGTCTCTCTCTCTCTCTCACTGTCCACTCTGCCTGTCAAAAAAATAAATAAATAAAAGAAAAAAAAAGAACCATATGGCCTTATTAGCAAGTGCTTTTGTTTGGGCAGTGAAAAGCCCTGAAGAGGGACAAAGAGAATTAATTAATTTGTTAGAAGCAGCTCATCAGGAAAGAAGGAGGCATTATTTGGGACTGGGAAGGGGTTTGGGGCTTTAGGGTTTTTGAGCAGAAATGGTATGATGCCATGGTATACTGGGATATGGAACATCAGCATGGATCTCTGGTAGCCAGCATTGTGACACCACTCTTGTGTCAGTCCAGAGCATCAGGACCTGATAGATAGTGGAACAAGCTGGGAACAGAATGCCCAAAGGACAGAAAGGGCACTCATGATGCCAAGACTTAAGAACTGGAGCCCTTTCTATTTCATCTAAATGCCTGGGCGCATATATAAGCTAAGAGGTGATAACACCCAAAATGACAGAGATAAAACTTTCTTCAATCATGACTAGAGAGGTTTCATGGATGGATTGATTCAAACAAGAATGTAGGGCAAGTTCATAGACCAGGACAGTGTGAGTACAAGAGAACTGTACCTGGTCACACTGAGGAAGTTTCCTTCTTTTAGGGTATTAGAATTTTGCATGCAAGCACTGGTTTTATTGGGTATTCATCTCGGAACCTGTTTGTGTAACGTGATTTACCAGTGGATGTTTTCTGAGCACTCTAGAGGGTAATGCCAGTCATTTCTTCCTTTGGTCTCAGGGGGCTTTGTTGGGCTCTCACCCACCAAAGGCAGAGGCATTTTTTGTATAAGAGTCACATAGGGGCTGGCGCTGCGGCTCAATAGGCTAATCCTCCGCCTAGTGGCGCCGGCACACCGGGTTCTAGTCCTGGTTGGGGCACTGGATTCTGTCCCGGTTGCCCCTCTTCCAGGCCGGCTCTCTGCTGTGGTCAGGGAGTGCAGTGGAGGATGGCCCAAGTGCTTGGGCCCCTGCACCCCATGGGAGATCAGGAGAAGCACCTGGCTCCTGCCATCGGATCAGCACGGTGTGCTGGCTGCAGCGGGCCGGCCGCAGCGGCCATTGGAGGGTGAACCAATGGCAAAAGGAAGACCTTTCTCTCTGTCTCTCTCTCTCTCACTGTCCACTCTGCCTGTCAAAAAAAAAAAAAAAAAAAGAAAGAGTGAGTCACATAGGAAAGATTTTTGAAAGGAAAATCTGTGCCTCCATGATGGATGGCAGTAAGACAACATGGATTTGTCTGCAGCGTTTCTCTTAAACAATAGGAGATAGAGCACATGTGTTTCATCTTCTCTAGATATTCAGAAACTCAGTGTTTAATGACACAGACAAATTCTGGGGACAGGGGTATGACAACAACGCAAAACCAGAGAAGCAAAGAACATTTAGTGGAAGTCATTTATTTTGGAAGCAATGAAGTCATTTGTCTCCATCCAGCAATGTATCTATTGATCTGTTTTTCTATTGGGATAAAAGAAAAGAAATAATCTTTGACTGAAGAAGAAAGAGATCCCATATGCACAAAAGATCTTACCTGCTCTGGCAGGTGTGCTGGCCTGTGGCTTTCTCCAGCAGCTTTGGAAGTTGAATCATCGGCAGAGGTGGGAATGCTCCTGTACTTCAGGCTATTTTTTGAAGCTCAGATTGTCATTGTGCAAACAAAGCAAGACAGAGATCCCTCACCCTGGCAAGATTTTGCAGTATGCTTATCTGAGTTGCAAGTCCAATGTCATTTTGAATGTTGTTATGCATTTTTCTCCTATACCACTTCCTTACTATCTTTTAGGTCAATAAAATATTCTGAAATATTATAAATACATGAAAAATACAGAAATAAATAAAATGAACTGAATTTACTCTCCTCTGCTTTTACATGTTTCCTTTATTTTATTTTAAATAATGTAACATTTCCTTGATTTTAAATAATATTTAAAACAGGTGTTCATTTTATTTTCCTCTCTTCTCCTATTACCTTCTCATCTTCCATTCCTGTAGGTGACTCTTACTTGATTTGTTGACTATTCATGCATGCATTTTTAATATTTTGTCTACACACACATATGTATATATATATGTGTGTATATATATGTGTGTGTATATATATATATATATACATATATATGTATATATACAGGCAGACAGATCGTATAAATGCTTAAAATTCTGGGCCATGGGCCAATGCTGAGTTGTACTAGGTCAAGCCTTTGCCTGAGGCACCCACATGCGATATGGGCACCCGTTCATGTTCAGGCTGCTCCTCTTCTGATCCAGCTCTCTGCTATGGCCTGGGAAAGTGGTAGAAAATGGCCCAAGAGCTTCAGTCCTTGCACCCACATGGGAGACCCGGAAGAAGCTCCTGGCTTCTGGTTTTGGATAGCCCCATCTTAGGCTGTTATGGCCATTTGGGGAGTGAATCAGTGGGTGGATGATCTTGCTCTCTGTCTCTCCCTGTCTCTGTAATTATTTCAAATAAATAAACAAAATAGTAAAATAAGGAGTAAAATAATACTCTGGATTGTGTTATGTGTCACTCTGTAACTTACAGTTTTTGATGAATGTGCTTTTGAAAGTTGGTTATTATAAGTTATACATAACTAATATTTGAATAGCTTTGCTATATGAGAGCATCATATGGAAAATAGACAAAAATAAAAGTTGATTTCAGTGCAAAAAGTTTTGAAATCATGCAAATGAGGGGTCCTTAAAAATTCATGAGAATTTATATTGTAAATAAGCTATGCATTGAGTTAAAATAAAATTTTGCTCCAGAGTAAACTTACTTTAAATTCAGTTTCCATGAACTTTAATAAAAAGGTTTATTAATTTATTATTTTTTGCTTATTTGAAATGAAGAAGAGAGGGGGAAACAGAAAGAGATAAAGAGATAGTCTCTTGTGGGCTCACTTCCCAAATGGCTACAATGGCCAAGGCTGGGCCAAGCCAAAGTCAGGAAATCCATCTGTATCTCCCACATAGGTAGCAGGGTCCCAAATTCATGGGTCATCTTCTGCTGCTTTTCCCAAGCATATTAGCATGGAGCTGGATCAGAAGCAGAGCATCCCTTTTTGGAGCATAGGGTTCAAGCACTATCTGTTCTGCTTAGGGCTGGGCCAGGAGCCAAGAGCTTCTTCCTGTTTGCCCACATGGTTTTAGGGACCCAAGCACTTGAGCCATTTTCCACTGCTTTCCCAGGTGTATTATCAGGAATCTGGATTGGAGGTAGAGCAGCCAGTACTGGAACCAGCCCCTGCCAGCACTGCAGGTGGAGGCTTAACTTTCTGTGCCACAGCACTGTCCCTAATAAATCTTTTTTAAAAAAGAAAAAATGTGTCTTAAACCTAAAATATTGACAATTATGGATAAATTAAAATCTCTATGATTCTATAATTTGAGTGTGTTGGCCATATCAATCTTATAACTCTGTCAAATTCTGCTCTGGCATTGGTATGATGGACTAGCCATGACTCATGGAGCTTATCTGGTCTCCTTCCCTTAAAGTAGTGTGGCATCTCTTAGCTCATGGATCACCATGTCACACTGTTTATCCTCAGCTTCAATTTTCTTATTTTCTCATTGATCTCTTTGGAAACAAACAAACAAAAAAACATGAGAAAGTGAACTAGACCAAAAATTAGCACTTTTGGAGTGGTAGAATAAAATTTAAGTCACACTTTAGCCAATAATTGTTAGCCCTCTGAGCTTGAGTAAGCAAATTAGCTTACTTTCCTCATATAGTAAAAGGGACCGACAATGCCATCTGTGTTATAAGGTTATCATGAGCATTAAGAAACAATATGCATATGAAAGTTCCCAGTTCTCTACCTGGTACACCGTTGAGGCTCAAAACATCATATGTTCTCTTCCTTTTTCCTTTCAGAAAGGCAATTGTATGTCAGAGGCATTATCTCCTCAACCAGCCATGTTGAGGGCTGTAATTGACTGGAAGACTCCTGCTAGACAAGTCTTCACTAATTTTTGTGCCTCTTGCACTAGCTAGTCTTCTGGGTAAGCCAGGCATTTGTTTCCTTAATTGTTCTATTTCCTGAGATTTCTCTTCAGTCTGGAATTAATAGATAAGTCAGATTCTCTTGTGCCGTGTACTCGTCCTCCTGGATGTCCTTCTGACCCATTATGTTTCTTTCCCGGCACTTACTCTCTAATTTCTTGTTCCTTTTGAGCGATCTGAGTTCCCTTGAAAATAGCCTCCAAAGCACCATTGCTGAGAGCTGAACACAGCTCTTAGCCTTTGGTGAGAAATAAAGATCCAATTGTCATGGGGTGAAAATCCTCTCTCCTGTGGATATATTCTGTACTGTTTTATCTTTTTGTTAAAGGAAAGAATACACTGAATAGCAAAAATCCTTGTTTTAAGTGGAAGATTTACTATGAATGATCAAGGACATGTACAAGTTTAGACTCTTTGCAAGTGCAAAGTATGCCTGTTGTATTATCTTTCCTAGTGACAATTATATCTAAGTTTAATTGTCTAGATGGCTTAGGGCACATTCTGTGACAACAATGTGATTAAAAAATTCAAAATGGCTTATATTTTCCAGGATCCTGAATACTGATGAAAATATGCATTCTAGAGTTTATCTTACCCTTGATTAAATTTACCAACAACATCATTTATTCTTTAATTAAACTCCTGTTTGTTGATTATCTACTTCACACCAGACACCATGAGAGGTTACAAGGAAACATAAGTCTGCATGAAGAATGGTGGTGAGCACTGAATACATTTAATTATAGGTACAAAATTAACCCAAACTTGGATACATGAATAGAAAATGAAGTAAATGTCATCCAACAAACTCTTAATCATTTTTACATAGGTGACAATCATAAGTGGGAGTAAAAGGATATTATTTAAAGCTGACAAGTCAAATAGTAAAAATCTTAGTCAAGGGGCTGCGGAATCATTAAATATAATACAAAAAGATAATACAAAAAGAACATTAGAACAAAAATATAAGCCTTCCTAAAGACCAAAATCATGAAGATAACAACAGCACTCTGGCCTCAGAATCAGCCCTTAAGGCATGTGGATCCAGCTGAAATGCCCATGAGAGTATTTCAGGCATGGAAAGCCAAGACACTCTGGCAAGAAAAAAAAAAAACCTAAATGAAAGATCTCCACAAGTGAGATCCCAGTGGACAGAATGGGTCATCAAAGAAGGAGGTACCTTTCTCTGAAGGGAGGAGAGAACTTCCACTTTGACCATGGCCTTGTCTAAAAATGATCAGAGTCAGTGAACCCGGGGGCTTCCATAGCCTGGCAGCTCATAACAAGAGCCTAGGGTGATTACTGAGGCCATAAACAAGAGTGTCAATTTGTTAAGTCAACAACAGGAGTCACTGTGCACTTACTCCTCATGTAGGATCTTTGTCCTTAGTGTGCTGTACATTGAGATTTAATGCTATAACTAGTACTCAAACAGCATTTTTCACTTTATGTTTCTGTGTGGGAGCAAACTGTTGAAATCTTTACTTAATGTATGCTAAACTGATCTTCTGTATATAAAGAGAATTGAAAATGAATCTTGATGTGAATGGAAGGGGAGAGGGAGTGGATGAGGGGAGGGTTGCGGGTTGGAGGGACATTATGGGGGGGAAGTCATTGTAATCAATATTCTGTACTTTGGAAATTTATATTCATTAAATAAAAAAAAACCAAAATCAATAAAAAAAAGCTTAAAAGAAAGAACCAACACAGTATATAAAGAAACATAGCTAATATAATCAGAAACCGATGACAAATATATTTTACTATCATCTCATTTTTTTAATTTTGTTTTTTTAACTTTCATTTAATAAATAGAAATTTTGAAAGTACAACTTTTGGATTATAGCGGCTTTCCCCCCCCATAACTTCCTGCCCACTCGCAACCATCCCATCTCCCATTTCCTCTCCCATCCATTCTTTATCAAGATTCATTTTCAATTATCTTTATATACAGAAGATCAACTTAGTATATACTAAGTAAAGATTTCAACAGTTTTCACCCACACAAAAACAGAAAGTATAAAGTACTGTTTGAGTACTAGTTATACTGTTAATGCACATTGTACAACACATTAAGGGCAGAGATCCTACATGGGCAGTAAGTGCACAGTGACTCCTGTTGTTGACTTAACAAATTGACACTTTTGTTTATGATGTCAGACCTCAATGAGGCTCTTGTCATGAGCTTTCCAGGCTATGCAAGCCTCTTTGAGTTTGCCAACTCCTATCTTGTTTAGACAAGGCCATAATCAAAGGGGAAGTTCTCTCCTCCCTTCAGAGAAAGGTACCTCCTTCTTTGATGGCCTGTTCTTTCCACTGGGATCTCACCCACAGAGATCTTTCATTTAGGTCACTTTTTTTTTTTTGCCAGAGTGTCTTGGCTTTCCATGCCTGAAATACTCTCTCACATAGGCTTTTTAGCCAGATCCAAATGCCTTAAGGGCTGATTCTGAGGCCAGAGTGCTGTTTAGGACATCTGCCATTCTATGAGTCTGCTGTGTATCCCGCTTCCCATTTTGGATTTTTGTCTCTTTTTTCATTCTATCAGTTAGTATTAGCAGACACTATTCTTGTTTCTGTGATCCCTTTGACTCTTATTCCTATCATTATGATCAGTTGTGAACTGAAACTGATCACTTGGACTAGTGAGATGGCATTGGCACATGCCACCTTGATGGGATTGAATTGGAATCCCCTGGCACGTTTCTAACTCCACCATTAGGGGTAAGTCTGATTGAGCATGTGCTGACCTGTAAATCATGTCAGTCCCACACAGGAAACCCAGGTTGTATTCCTGGTACCCAGCTTCGTCCTCATTCAGCCCCTGGTGTTACAGACATTTGGGGAGGAAACCAGCGGATGGAAGATATCTGCAGGTCTGTCTTATTTTTTCTATTTCCCTGCCTTCAAATAAATAAAAAAAACTTTCTAAAAACCAGGATAAAGATACTATCTGAGACAAAGAGCACATTCATACTTACATAATGATGTTATAAGTCATGAATATTATACATAATTTAATAATATGGCACTCATCTATGCAAGTAGCAATTGGGAGACACATTAATAACAAGAGATTTTAAGAAATTATTCTAAGTGAAAGATACATCAAGTGAAATAAAATATAAGCAAGGCTACAGAATGCGTAAGTAACATTGCCAGTGTATTAAAGATGCTGTGTTGGAACTCTCTCAGACAGTGTGTCTTGTGAGAGCTGATTCTACACATCTCCTCCCAATGTGGGAAGAGGCTCGCTGTCAGCACGTTGTACCTTGAAATTGGCCATGTGGCCAGTGTTTCCACCGCAGAAACTGTGCAATGCTATAATCACGAATAGATCCAAGATGATTAATTAGAGAGGCCCTGCCATCACATCTGCCACAGAGAAGAACCAGGCTGCATTGCCACAAGACTGAAGGAAAACTTCAACAGAGACAGCATGGGAACTGTAAACGGCACAGGGACTTGCGCAGCCTGGAGAGAATGATAGCAACAAAGCATACCACAGCTCCTCCCCCAGCTCCCCAGCTGCAGGCACTGCGTCTTGCTGGGGAAGCTCAGCAGAGAACTCAGTAATCCTTGCCACTGCTGCAGACTGGCATAGCTAACTGCAAGAGAATTCACAGTCCTCACTGGTTTTAAATCCAGTCCAGAAAGCTGACTGGGGTCTCAGCAACTGTTTTGCTCCAAAGGAAGGCCTGCATTGCCTTCCTCACTCCCTCAAAGATCCAGACCCGAAGTGCTGTGGTGCAACTACTACTAAGCTTCATTCTGTATTAGGGGACAGTGGGCAGCCTGGTGCGTCCAGAAGCCCTACCCACACCCCAGACAGAGCACTTCTTCACAGGGCAGGGATCAGAGCTCTCTACATCTTTCAGCTGCTTGCTTGTTAGGCATAAGGTCTGGTGCCTTGCTTACTGGCTTTGTGTAATCTGGGGAAGTTGTTGGGGATTGGTGCCAGAAGCTGATGTACATGTTCAGAGGACCAGACTTAAGGACGTCATCTTCTACTCAGTGGCCAGGGCACAAGCCTCACCTTTTTTGCATGTCCTATGGGGATGGAGGGCAGTCCCGTCTGTGTTCAAATTTTTGGACTGTGGCTGTTGGTGCTCCAATCCCTGGAGTAACTTGCATTCATGAGGTCTTGTTTGCATTCCTCTGCTTCATATCAGTTAGCTGTGTGTCCACAATCCCCAGCATAACCTGCACTCATGCTGTGAGATCTGGACAAGGGCCCCACTGCATCCTGCAGCTCTGGGACTGTGACTATTGATTCTGTAAGCCCTAAGGACACCTGTGCTACTCTATGGAGCTTAGTCAAGGCTCTCTCTGCATACACTAATTCAGGCTTCACCTGCTAGTGTGCAATCCCCTGCATAACCTGTGATCAACCTGTGGAATGTGGATAAGACATCATACGAGTTCTACAGCTCTAAGAATGTGACTGTTGGAGCTATGTTTCACACCTGAATTTACCCCACCGGACCTGGGTAAAGACCCATTGCTCTCTGCAGCTGTGGGACTGTGACTGTTAATTCTAAAGTCCCAGAGACACCTCTGTTCTTTCATGGGGTTATCATAGAGGCTCTATTTGCATCTCACAGACTTGCACCTGCTAGTGAACAATTCCCAGCGCAATCTGTGATCAGCCTGTGGAATACAGTTAATGGAGCTATCCCTTAGCAGTGAAGGAGAGATAAAGTGTACGGCAAGCTGAAACTGAGAGAGTCCATTACCAACAAACCAGTATTTTGAGAAATCCTGAAGGGAATTGTATGTTAGAAGTTGTCATCATAAAAATACACAATAGTGCAAAATTCACTTACAGAGCAGTTACACAAAAAAGAAAAAGAAAAATCAGAGAACAATATTACTCGTCTATCATATTATTATTTGCTAATAGGGAGAATATAAAGATAATTACAATTAAAAATAATGAAAATTAAAAACAGAATGTTAAAATTTGTAAGATGCAGTTAATATACTGTGAAAGTAGCAATTTTATATACTTAATTTCATTCATATAATTAATAAAAAGTGAATTGAATTCAATTTGAAAAGCTAGCAAAAGAAAATAAACCAAATAAGAAATAATATAATAACAGAAGAGCAAATTAATTCAATAAAAATGAATAAACCAAAGATGTCACAAATTAATTTAACATTGAATTAAAAGAGAAAGTTTGCATAAACATAATACAAAATAATAAGAGAGAGCTGGAAGACATTGAAAGTAACAAATATTTTGTGTGTGTGTGTGTGTGTGTGTGTAACTTAACAAAATTAACTCTAATGTAGATGGGAATCTTAGATACAAATGTCCATGAAAAGTGGCAGGCATTTGGCCTACTGGTTAAGACACTACTTAGGATTTCATATCCAAAATCAGAGTGCATGGTTTCTACCTGGCTCTGGTTCTTGATTTTCTGCTAATGCTGACCCAAGAAGTCGATTGAGATAGCTCAGGTAATTGTGTTCCTGTCACCAATTGTGACCTGGATTCAGTTTTTGGAAACTGATTTTGGACCCCTGTCTGTTGTGGGCATGTGCAGAGTAAACTAGTGGATGGAAGCCCTCTCTCTCTCTTTCTCACACATTCCCATATAAATAACTTACTAAATTAAAAAAAAATTATGAAAAGGGAAATATCACTATCAAATGAACAAAGAACATCAACAACAACAACAGCTACTGTCTAAAATTGCTATAGGCTCAGATTGTTTCACAGGGAAAGTTTATCAAAATTTCACATAAAGTGGTCTCAATGCTACACTGACCGCTTCAGATATAGAAACTATGCAAAGAAAGTACAACATTGATACTAAAACCTGAAAAAGAGACATAAAAGAGAGAAAATTATACCACGTCAATTTTAATTTTAATTACAATGGAAAAATGTATCCATAAAATTATATTATGCCATTTATAATGTAAGACTCATAAGACCATTCCTCTTTTATCTTTTCTGTTATTACTGTTGTATAGTTTGCTTCTACATATGCTATAATCTCACACTGAAATATTTTTTTTGTTTATACAAAATTCTTTTTTTTCTTTTAGTAAATGAGAAATGTCAAAATATCTTTTTCTGATTTCCATTGTATTTGATGAGAAATCACCTTTTTTCTTTTTGTTATTCATTTGCAGGAGATTAAATTTTTTTCTTAAGCAGTTTCTAAGATGCTTCTCTTTTTGTTTTATGATGTTTTAGTCCTGTGGGGTAGATGTGAATTAAGTGTGTCCCCTAAACTTTCAGATACTGGAACCTTCATCCCCATGTAATGGTATCAGGTGGTGAGGCCTTTAAGAGACAGTTAAATCATGAGGGCACACATCAAAGAAGGAGGTACCTTTCTCTGAAGGGAGGAGAGAACTTCCACTATGATTATGACCTTGTCTAAATAAGATCAATGTCCACGAACTCAAAAGGCTTCCATAGCCTTGGAAACTCATGACAAGAGCCTAGGGAGATTCCTGACGCAATAAACAAGAGTGTCAATTTGTTAAGTCAACAACAGGAGTCACTGTGCATGTAGGATCTCTGTCCTTAATGTGTTGTTCAGTGTGAAGTAATGCTATAACTAGTACTGAAACAGTATATTACACTTCATGTTCTGTGTAGGTGTAAACTGTTGAAATCTTTACTTAATATATACTAAATTGATCTTCTGTATATAAAGATAATTGAAAATGAAAAAAATCATGAGGGCACAACTCATAAGAGATTTAGTAACTGGATTATCATTAAAATTAATTATAATTAATGATAATTACAGATGATAAATTAACATAATGATTTAATTAATTATAATTTAAAGTTAATAATTAAACACTATTTTTTTCCTTGCACATACACTCACTCCCACAAGTGACCAGTTTCCTCTCTGCTTCTCCATCATAAACTGGAACTAGGTCAGAGGGTAAATCCATGCTATTAGAACTTTCCACCACCAGAATCATGGGCCAAATAAATCTATTTTCTTTATCCATCATGCTACATCAGGGCTATCTTAGCAGAAACTTGGGCAAAATCCATCCCTTTTATGAAATGGTAAGGAACTTGACAGAACTGTGTCCATGCCCTGGGGCTTTGTGAATGATTGTCTTAGGGTATCTGGCAAAATACATTTTTAAGAAAAATATGAAAGAAATTGCATGGGTGTTTTGTCAGCTTTCAGTGCAATTTGAGACCAGAGTGAAACCAAGCCATGCAGATAAATTTGGTAAATTCCCATCCTGGCCAGGTAAAGAGTGAACAGACATGTGTGAGTGCAGCCCCAGAAACCACTTGCTGAAGAAATTCACATGAACAAAAGCAGCCAGGTGCAACTCATCTAGACAGCACGCAAGAGATCTGAGAGCATCTCAGAAACCTTGGAGACCACCCTCCTCATCCCATCCCAAGTCCGGAAGTCTAGAAGGGCAGACTGGATTCAACAAAAGGGCTTGGCGTGCTCTCCATGGGCTTGTTCCCCAGAGCTGCCTGCAGCCTCTGCTCCCCCCATTCCAGCAGGTGCTCCTTGGCCACTCCAGCTGAGGCTCAAGCAAGCTCAGAGGTAACTCACGCAAACCAAAGAGAGAAAAAAACAGAAATTTGGTGATGCCCATGTGGTGCTAATTCTGCAGGTGTGCAGAATGCAAGAGCAACTTCCACTATTTCCAAGAAAAACCTGTGACAGGAGGCCGTTCACCACGGGGTTCGAGTTACTACAGCTCTCGCACAAGAGCAATGCCTAATAGATCCAAAAGAGTGGGATAACTGTCCACAAGACCTTACTGAAGGGCCACTGACAACATGCAAATGCCACCTGCCTCACTGTGCAAAGGATGCTGGTCCTGGAGTTTTGATATTAATATCTCTGTTTTCAAGAAAAATAGTATGTGTGTGTGTGTGTGTTAGAATATAATGTCCACATTTGACATGAATGTGGAAAAATGTTAAAAAATTTTAAAAGTAAAAAAAATTAAAATAAAAAATTCAATGTCTGCTCCACTGGGTTGGACTTGCATGGACCAATGACACCTTTCTATTTGTCTATTCCTCCCATTTGAAATAAGAGTGCTTACACTGTGCCTGTCCCACTGCAGTGTCTTAGAAGCATATAACTTGTTTTTGGCTTTACAGGGTTACAGCAAGAAAGAATTTTCCTTGAGACTCAGGTGAAATTTTGGGTTTTGTATTTTTGATTGGATGCTGCACTGACTTAAGACTTTGTGTTGTGAAAGAATAAATGCATTTTGCGTTGTTAGAAGGATATGAACATTGTGAGCTAGGGATAGAATGCTATGCTTACATGTTTGGATGTATTCCCAAAGATTTCTTGTGCTGGAAGCTTGGTCCCCAATGCAACAACAGCATTGATGATCTATCTCTAAGAGGTGTGATGGTTGAGTTGAAAGAATCTTCCTTTCCTCAATTTTGTTTGCTCTTCTCAGAGATAACTCTGCCAAGACTCTATTTTCAGTTACTCCAAGATTTCACCCTTATGACTTTAGAGAAGACATTTGGCCAACTGTTTGGCATTTCCCAACTTGAAAGTATCTACTGGTGTCCTGTCACCAAAAACGAGGACCTTTAATTAATCTACCTTTTACTACCCCCTCTCATGCACAATGCACAGCCCATTTCAATGTGATTGTATTTATATTCTTAATGGTTATACTGTTTCTGTTTTCATATGAGACTATAGTTTAATCTCACATACCTTCTATTTACATGAGGCCAAAACTCATAAAGCAAAACCAGAAAATCACTTCTTCATTATCATGACTGCAGTTTTATGCCATAACATTTTATTGGTTTAAGGAAAATTTTCTAAGTATTGATATCTAGGGGCTATCATACTTTCTTTCTCATTTCTCTGTTGTCCTTTGGAAAAAAGGTAACCTCACTGCTTCTGGTATGTAATGTCATTCTTTCGCTGGGATTAATATTCCCTTTTCTTTTTTCCCCCCCAAAACATGCACTACATTACAGTTTTCAATGGAGGATGTCTAGGAGAAAGATTTTCTGCATTTTTGTGTGTCTAAAGTATTTTCTATATTTTGCTTTTAAATTTGGTAGAGAGCTTTCCTAGAGATAGAATTCTAGATTCAAATGTTTCTTATCAGATTTTAAAGGTGTTGTCAACAAATAAATAGTTATGAGTATAATTGTTAATCTAACACGCAAAAAGAATTACGGAAAGCTCAAAAAAAGAAAGAAAGAAAGAAAAAGTAAAAGAGAATCAGCAAGCACTAACCCTGCCTAATAACACAGTCTGGTATTCAATCTGTTATCAAACTGATTCTTAATGCCTGTTAATAACATTTTCTTTCTCTTTAGCCTTCACTTTCAGAAATTATAAATAGTCCAAATATATTTAGTTGTGTCATCCTTATATTCAGGGTAAATTCATTTTCATTTTATATCTTTTTTTCAAAAAAATTTTTAAAGATTTATTTATTTATTTGAAAGTCAGAGTTACAGAGAGAAGAGAGGCAGAGAGAGAGAGAGAGAGAGAGGGAGAGAGAGAGAGAGAGAGGTCTTCCATCCACTGGTTCACTCCGCAATTGACCCCAAAGGCTGGAACTGCACTGATCCGAAGCCAGGAGCCAGGAGCTTCTTCTGGGTCTCCCATGTGGGTGCAGGGGCCCAAGCACTTAGGCCATTTTCTACTGCTTTCCCAAGAAGAGAGCTGGATTGGAAGTGGAGCAGCCAAATCTCAACTTTATTTCTGTGTTACAATTATTTCAATTAGCAAGGTTATACGTTATTTATACTGCCAGAGAAGGGAAACAGATTAGGAGGGAAACTATTATTGATTAATTACATCTATCCAAACACTGAAGAAATTGAACCACTCAGAAATTGAAAATAATAGAGTTAGATATACTCATGATATGGAAAGATAACAACTATATATGAGTTATTTATTTCAAAGGAAGAGTTACAAAGAAAGAGAGAGAAGACAGAGAAGACAGAGAGAGAGAGAGAGAGTAAGAAAGAGAATCTCCCAGCCTTGGTTCACTCCCAAAATGGCCACAATGGCCAGTGCTGGTTCTGCTAGAGCTGGGCCTGTATGGCTCACTGAGTACACAACTGCTCTGACTGAGAGCAATTCAGCACCAGATTTGGTGTCAGGCAGCTATGGAATGAGTAAGTTTTATACAGCCAGCCAAACCTAAAGCCTCATCAGCTAATCAGTGAATGCCATGGGTAGGACTCTAAAGTGGAGGAAAGTGCATATAGAAAGAGGAAGGTGAGGAAAGAATGAAATAAGTTGATATTAAGAGGTGGCAAAAGTCACAGGGAAGAGTGCATTTTAGTTAGAAACCAATGAGACACATTTGGTTCCAATTGCAGAGTCCAGGACCATGGATAGGAAAATGAATTTGTGAGGAAAGGTGACAAGAAGCTTCTGGAAGGTGAGATCGAGTTAATGAAGTTGTCTGTAAGTATGTAATGAACATGATGATCATAAAATACTTGAAACACCAGAGAAAATGAAAACCCAGGCCTTAGGGATTGCACATTAGCATCTATGTGCTGGTTGCTTGTGGGTATAGGAGGGGACAGCAGGGCTCTCAAGGCAGGGGCTTGGCTGATATTTGCTAAAGGCTATGTCTTATGGCAAGAATTGTAGATAATTAGGTCACATCAGTATTTCAATTGGTAGCTTGGTTTCTATAGTAATTCTGGCAGCCAGAAGCATTCTCTGTGTGGAAGGTAGTGCTTCAATGTTAAGTCACTCAGAAAATCATCATTGGTAGGCATCGATTTATTCTCCTGCTTGGCAAACACACTTCCTCCTCTGAGCCATCTGTAGGCCATCCACCCCTGCCTTCCCTTCCTCCTTATTCTTGTCATGTAGTTCCAGTAAAAGAGGATGATAGCAATTAAACTCACCTAAGGGCTTGTCTGGTCCAATTTCAGGTTATGAAATTAAGCTTAAAAGGGATTTTTCCCCAAAGCATTCAGCTAAGTAGTGGCATGGTTTAAGATCATCTGAGTTTCCTTTTTATACTTTTATAACTTTTTAAAAGATTTATTTATTTATTTGAAAGTCAGAGTGATAGAGGGAGTTTGTGGGGAGAGAGTGAGAGAGAGAGAGAGTCTTCCATCTACTAGTTAATTCTCACAAATAGATGCAACAGCCAAGACTGTTCTCAGCTGAAAGCAAGAGCCTGGAACATGCCACATGAGTGGCATGGGTCCAGGCATTTGGGCCATCCTCTGCTGCCTTACCAGGAACATTAGCAATAAGGTGGATTTGAAGTGGAGAAGCCAGAACTTGAACTGGCACTTGATCTGGGACGCTGGTACTTGGAAATGGCTGCCCAACCTGCTGTGCCACAGTGCTGGTCCAAATGTTCCCTTCTTTTAATTGAATGTTCTTTGCTGTTCATGCTACATTGCTGCTATGGTTTGAATGTGTCCCTCAAAGTTCATGTGTCAGAAAATTAGTCCAACTTAATTGCAAGAGTGTGCAGAAGTGGGGTTTCCAAGAGGTGATTAGGTCATGAGGTCTCTAACCTCCTGGATGGATTAATACAATTATTATGGCAATGTATTAGTTACTGTAGGAGAGAATTTATGACAAAAGGATGAGTGCAGCTTCCTTCCCTTCTCTCTCCTATGTTCACTGTCTTCTATTACCCTTCTGCCTTCTGCCATGGGATGATACAGCAAGAAGGCCCTTGCCAGATGTGGGCACCTGGGACTTTGGCTTTCCAGCCACCAGAATTACAGGAAATGAATCTTTGCTCTCAAAAATTACTCAGGCTCAGGTATTCTATGGTAGCAGCACAAAACAGACTGATATACTTGCTTTAAAAATTAGATGTATTTCAAACATCATCTATATTCCTCTAATGTTTCCTTGTCCTTTGGAATTTTTGTTTATTTACTGCCTTTGATTTTTCAGTTAACAAATAGTTGAATGACTACTATATATCCTTATTAAACTTGTATTAAAGAGTAGCAAACCAACAATAGCAACAAACAACTATGGAGTGTAATGTCAGGTAGGGTTAGGAACTACTTCCCTCTGGATTCCCAGAGAAACCAATTAATCAGTTCTTTTGCAGATTTGGAAATCTGCATTTGTCACAACATTTCAGAAGATTCGGATGAAGGAGGTACATAGAGCTTCTTTTGAGAGAATGATGAAACAGATCATGGAAGTTATGGTAAAAGGCATAAACAGAATTCTCTTTCTGATGAACTCTTGATGAAAGACATGCTTGACTTTAGTTCTTGTACCTGGGGTAAAATCAATCTGCAGGACTGGAAGAAAATTAGTTTGGGGGTTACATGAGCAGCAGAACACAATTTTGACTTTGACAAATATTGTAAAATTCTCCATGCATCTCTATCACATTTAATGTCAGTTTTGCTTTCTAAGTTCAAAAGACTAATCTAAAGATGCCCAGGAATTATTTTTAAGATTATTTATTTGAAAGGCAGAGAATCAGAGAGAGAAAGAGATGGAGAGATGAGAGAAAGAGAGAGAAATCTTCCATCCAATGGTTCACCCCTCAAATGGCCACAATCGTCAGCGCTGATCCAGGCTAAAACCAGGAGTCAGGAACTCCATCCACGTATCCCACATGGGTGGCAAGGACCCAAGGACTTGGGCTATCATCTGCTGCCTTGCAGGATACACATTATCAGAAAGCTAGATCAGAAGAGCAGCCTGAATTCAAAGCAGAATTGCAATTTCGGATAACAGCTCTGCAAGCACTAGTGTATCCACACCCTCAGAAATGTTTGGAATAAAGCAACCATGAGCACACCCTTTCATCAGCCTGAGAGGCCCCTTCTTTCTACACATCTGTTGAGTGACTCCATTACTTTTAAGTTAACTCAGTGATTCCCAACCCTGGCTACACGAATTTAGATGCCTAAGCCCCACCTTCCACCATTCTGAATTAATTCATAGTTTGTAGACCAAGCATAACTCATTTTCTAATTCTTCCCACCCTCAAAGTGATAATGAGGTGCATTTAGGTGGAGGGTTATATCTCTAACCAAATTGTATAAAGAGCTTGTAGTTTCTTTTTAATTCTTGCAAAAAAAGTAAAAAACAAAAAAAAAAACAAAAAAAAAAAAAAACAAAAAAAACCACCCTGCTATGTATAAGTAGGTACAGCCAGTGGCAATTGTTGTGAATAGCTTCCTGGGAGGAGTATTGAGGAGGATGTTAGCAGAAAACCAGGGGAGACACTACTCATTTTCTTTCTCCTCTGATCGTGGAGTTTGGGGAGCAAATTTGCTAAAAACCTCTTCAATGGAGAGTTACCAGTGATATAATTCTTTATGTTTTTCTTGCATTTTAAACAGATATCCATCTTTTTCTGGCAAATAGAATCTGCCTGCCTTTTCAAAAGAAATATCCTGAAGTCACCAAATGTGCAGCTTACTCCTTATGCTCTATTTAACATTCTAACCCCTTCTCTCCACCTGCCAGCTGAAGGCTGTACAGACTTAATTCCCCTCTGTCTTGGATTACTTTACCCACTTTCCTCTCTCCCTTTCACCTCTCACTTCTTTCTACAGTGACAAGAGGTAATTTTCCTCTGGAATCTCTTAAAAGTGTGTTTTTGACCCTGATGAACTGAAAAGGATGAGAATGAAGCTGGAAGTGGGATGGGTTGAAATGAGTGCAAGTGCTCTTTGGGGCCAATATTAGTTTACAACTACCTGGTTCATATGGCATTTCTTATATTTATTTATGTTGCTTGGAATTCGTTGTGTTTCTGGTCCCAAATATTCATTCTTTTATTAGTTGTAGAAAAATTTTAGCCATTATTTCTTTGCATTGTTTTCCTCCCACAGTCTCATGAATTTGTCCTATTAAAATGATGATCAGAAATAGGAAAGCGCTCTGGCTAAACTCTGTCTCTCTGTCTCTTTCTCTCTTTCCACACACACACACACACACACACACGCACACACACACACTATATATGTATGTATATATAAATTGCAAACAGCTGGCTTTTTATTTTTTTCTCTTCTGTATTCTATGTAATTGATTTATGATTTTATATTTATTCATCTTTTGGTTTCTGTTGCTCTTCCTTTTCTATTTATTGTAAGATGGATATTGAGATCAATTGACTGGAGAGCTTTATTCTTTTTTTTCCTAAAGACTTATTTATTTATTTGAAAGACTCTGCTAGGGAGAGAGAGAGAAAGAGAGAAAGAGAGAGAGAGAGAGAGAGAGAGAGAGAGAGAGAGAAACTGCATATGTGTCAAAGAGATCTTCCATCTGCTGATTCACTCCCAACAAAATAGTTACAGCAGCTGGAGCTGGGCCAGGCTGAAGCCAAGAGCCAGGAGATTCATTCAGGTGTTTCACTTTGATGGCACAGGCCCAGGCACTTGGGCCATCTTCCTTTGATTTTCCCAGGAATATTAGCAGGGAGCCGGATCAGAAGTGGAATAGTCAGGACTCAACCTGGTGCTCATATAAGGTGCTAGTGTCTCAGATAGTGGCTTAACTCACTGTTACACAATGCCAGTCATTCTTCTTTTATAACATAGGCTTTTAATATAATAAATTTCCTTGAAAGTTTTGAAGTCAAATATTTTTATATTATGTTCTAATTTTTATTCACTTCAACTATTTTTTGTAGTTTCTCTTTTTATTTCTCTGACTCAGGACAAGGGTAAATTTTTTTGTTTTCAAATTTTTAAGGATTTTTCTGTTGTTGATTTGTATTTTAATTTTATATCACACATGATCAAAATTTGTTTGACTTGAGTTCTGATAAATGTGTTGAGATTTGTTCCATGATAGTTTTTAATATACCTGTGTAAATGTTCCTTGTTCATTTGAAAGGGCCATGTGTTTTTTGCTATCTTGGTTAGAATGTTGTGCAAATGTTAATTAGATTAATTTGTAGATTTCAGCCACTGTATTGTTCAAACATTATATATCCTTTTTTGATTTTCTGTCCATGGGTTTTGTGACTTTTTGAGGGAGATTTATTGAAATCTTTGACTAAAACCATGAATTTTTCTATTATTCCTTTCTTTTGTATCAGTTTCTCTATTTTATTACTCTCTTTCCAGGTGTATAATCATTTTTCATTTTCTGCCCTCTTCATGAATTGACAACTTTATCATGATGAAATGATATTCTTTACACAAGGTGATATTTTTTGTTCTAAAATCTAATTTGTCTGACATTGATATAGACACTCCAGTTTTAAAAGTTACTATTAACACATCATATACTTTGCCATGCATTTATTTTTAACCTTTTGTCTTTATACCTAAAATGGATTTTTGTGTAGTGTAGCTTTTTTTTTAGAAAAATAAATTTCTTTATTTATTACATGACAGGCAGAGTTACAGAAAGTATGAGATCTTCCATCCAGTGGTTTACTTCCTAAATGGCTACAATAGCTGGGTTGGGCTGG